CATTTTCTTTATGACTTGTTAATTTGCAATATTTGTTTTACGCGATTTCATTATTATTATTTTTTTGTTGGATATTTTAATGTCATTATCATATTTTGTGTTATTTTCTTAAGAAACACCTTAGATAGTTGTATTTTGGTAAGACTAAAGAAATTTTTGAAGTACAAGTAAATTATATGTTTGTATGAATACTTTACTGGAAAACTCGAAAATCCGGAAAACCCGAAAAAATTTGAAAAAACCCAAGGTTGAAAAATCCGAGTTTTATTGGTTTGGTTTGGTTTATAGATTTAAAAAATCCGACACAAATGATTTAGTTTGATATTTGAAAAACCCGAACCAACCCGGTCATGTACACCCCTAATCTGAAGTAGAAACGAACATTTGGACTCTATATTTTTATCTTAGCATACACTTGGACATTTGATTTCAGCTTCTATTTTGAAATAATGAGATGACATGTTCGAGAAATCTCAAATTCTTCAAAAAGAAATAATCTCATGATAACCGATTCAATATTATTAATACACCTTATTTAGTACTACTATTATTATACACACTCTATCAAATGACTCTTAGATGTATGATTAATTAAGGAGTCTATATGTGTATAATGGAAGACTTTCATCAAATTGCTAAAAAAAAATTTAGATGTTCTCAACATCAATCTATTGAACTAGCAGGAAAAATTACCTAAATACATATTTTATTTTATCATAATTTTTAAAATTTTCTAATATTTTAAAAAATTACAATAATTCCATCTCCGATACATGTATGCATCGATATCTAATTTGAAAAAGAATAAAAATAAGATATAATCAGTTCTCAACACTATGAAATTTACTTTAATTTTTACATTCATTCTTTGGGCCTAAAATTTCACATCATACGGCCCGAGAGTTTTCTGGACATCTATGAACCAAAATTTTCTAGAGATTTCTTGCCTGCCAAGAAGGATCAAAATCATGCAATTTCCCAAACATCAAAATGTTAACAAAAATGGAGTTTTTCGAAACGATGCCGTCTTCTAAAACAATTTTAACGGCGGCGACTTCTCTCACCGCTTCAGTAATTCTTTTCCGATCAATAGCTAGCGACCTTGTACCGGAACAACTCCAGCTCTTTTTTTCTTCACGATTTCAAAAATTATCGAACCGCCTTTCCTCGCAGCTGATTGTAGTCATTGAAGAATCTGAAGGTCTCACTTTGAACCAAATGTTCGACGCTGTCAATGTTTATTTGGGTACGAAGGTTAATGCTTGGACTCAAAGGATCAAAGTTAACAAGCCTGATGAAGACGAAGAGCTCGCTGTCACTGTTGATAGGTAAGTTGGAGGTAAACAGTAGAGCGCCGATTGAATTATATTTTGAACAATTTTTGGTTTAAGTTAGAAACGATGTCAAAATTTGAATTTCACAATTTGCGAATAATGTGTATGTCCAATTTCTAAAGGCTTATCTTAAAAATTTTGAAGCTGTTTATGTGAATAGGCACCAAGAAGTAACCGATTATTATGAAAATGTCAAATTCACCTGGATCATGAAGTCTAGGGGAATCAAACAGAGTGAAAAGAGTACCAACCCGAAGACAGAGCTTCGATATTTTGAGCTAAGTTTTCACAAGAAGCAAAAGGAGATGGCCTTAAAATCTTACTTACCGTATATTTTGAAGAGAGCCAAAGAGATTAAGGAGGAGAAAAGGGTAGTAAGGCTACACACGGTGGATTATAATGGGACTGATTATTGGAGTTCTGTCGTGTTAAACCATCCTGCAACATTTGATACAATGGCTATGGAACCAGAAATGAAGAAGGAGCTGATTGAAGATCTTGACATGTTTGTAAGTAGGAAAGATTACTATAGGAAAGTTGGAAAAGCTTGGAAACGGGGGTACTTGTTATATGGACCGCCTGGTACAGGAAAATCGAGCTTAGTTGCAGCTATGGCTAATTACCTTAAGTTTGATGTTTATGACTTGGACTTAAGAGAGGTGCAATGCAATTCGGATTTGAGAAGGTTGTTGATCGGTTCATCAAACCGCTCTATACTTGTGATAGAAGACATTGATTGCAATGTGGGGTTGCAGAATAGGGAAAATGACAATGACACAACTGAAGATGACAAGGTATTGTAATGCATTTCGTTGACACTTTTTTCAGTGCACAACATAAAAGAACTTCTCACTTCTCCTAAGAAAAGACGGATTCGTTCTTGTTATTCAACAAAGAAGAAGAAGAAACTCTCTTTTATGTGTTCAACGATTATTGAGAAGAAGTACAAATATTTTTCTGCACCATTGAAGCGTCTTTTGTTACTCATGTACAACATCAATTTTGATCTTTACAATGTAGTTTGCATTTGAAGCATGTAATTACATTGATGACTAGTGAAACAAATATAATGGATCTTCAAGCACTAGCATGAATATTAACTGCTAGGATTATACTTTTGACTTGTATTTTGATAAAAAATTCTACAAATGCAGATTACACTTTCTGGGCTGTTGAACTTTATTGATGGCTTGTGGTCGAGTTGTGGAGATGAGCGAATCATAGTGTTCACAACGAATCACAAGGACAGACTTGATCCAGCATTGTTGAGACCTGGACGTATGGATGTGCACATTGAGATGTCACACTGCACTTTCAGTGGTTTCAGAGTACTAGCATCTAATTACCTAAAGACAGAGGAGCATAGACTGTTTAAGAAAATTGAAGATCTGTTCCAGAGAGTTAAGGTAACACCAGCTGAAGTAGCAGGAGAGCTGATGAAGAGCAACAACTCTGACGTTGCACTAGAAAACCTCGTCAAATTCCTTCAAAACAAGGAACATGAGGGTGTGACGAGAAGCTAAGCAACATTGCTGACTAAAAAAGATAAGTCGTTACCACTCCTGTATAGAGTAATTGATATTCTTTCATATGTTAATGAACAATAATATTATTAGCTTTTTCTGATGCTTTTGGAACATAATTACCTCGATTCCATTAATTCTTTTCATCATTGGCCGATCTATATTCATATGCTTGATATGATGTTTCAAAAAGTTTCCAAAATATCAAGATCTTTTATTCTCATACAAGAACACAATGGTATCCACAATAGGACTATATAGAGTAGCAGGAAGGTCGTGGCCAAAACATATAAAGATGTAGTCGCTCATGGAGACATCTATCTAGATGAGGATAGTCTATGCCAATTCATAGATAGATCACAAAGTATGAGCTATGTGACATAAAATTTTCAAAAATAGACAGCATAATTTTTCAATATAAGAAAAAGAAAATGGAATATACATACAATCTGTAGCTGGTTTTAGTTGCCTTGTAACGTTCGATGTTGCCATTGTCTTCTCTAAACACTCTGCTTCCTAAGATCAGAATCAGTTGAGATACAATAAGATGGTGAAGATAAGTAACCACTGCTAGCAATGGTTGTTAACATACTACTAGAAACGTAACGTACAATCCATATTCACCATTGATATCTCCTTGAGGGTTCTCCATGACCCTTTATCTGACCTTAAACAACCACCATCATTTTCACATGTACACCTACCACCTAGAAAATCTGGCAGCTCACTGAAAAAAAAGTTTTCACGATATGTTAAATCGTTAAGAACTCGTATAACATCTAGGATTGAAAAAACAAAGTTAAGAGACAATTACCATTCATCAATGATTTCAAGCAGTTTGCCTTGATAATTGTTGCCAAGAACCTAGAAATTTGAAAAATCAATAGTTCTTGATGAGCAACTTATAAATTGTTCTATTGGACTCATGTTCATCAATCCTCATTTGGGATATAAATGAAACCCTTTCTTCATAACATAATATAAAAGAAACATGAGAAAAACTTGATCATAGGAAGAAAACATGATGCCATACATGAATCTTAGACGTCGTTTCAGGGTCAAGAAAAGGCTTGAGTATATGCCAGAGTAGCCTAAATCCTGGTCCAGCGTTTATAACAAACATTTCACCAAGTGTCTGCAAAATTATTTTGCCAACATTAGATGTTAGGTATCAGTAAAAGTCATGTGTTATAGCTAAGCTAATAAGAGGTATATCAAATTACTTCAGGATAATAGTCATTATCAATCTTCTGCAGCTGCAAAATGACTTCTCGTACAGGTTTCGTGAAGTTCCTCAAACTCTATAATACAGAAAAACGAACATTATGAAAACTGAACAATAAGAGGTTAATAATCCACCAGAAAAGACTACTATACCACTCCTTCAACATCCAAGATGGTAACACCTCTATCAATATGTCTTTTTGCAGCTACAGAGCAAGCAGGAAACCGGAAGGCAATAGACTTCTCAAATTCTTGGACATGATATTTAACATAACGATCCAGAGTAGTTACTTCCAAAAGTTTGTCAACGTTCATTAGTCCCAATCTTTCAATATAAACTGGTCTTCCTTCCCTATCTGTGCCATGATAACCCTGAGGGTAGTTTTGTATAACTTCATCTCTTTCATGGAAGTTGAAATCCTGAGCAAAATATTGTGTATGATCAAGAAACTGTGAAATTTAAACCAAAATGTGGCCGGATAATTCAGAAGAAAACTTTCATATGTGCATAGGAAGATTAGAGCACGTCTAATAAGCCTTAGTCGACCTTCAGAAATAAATATGGTATTACACAGAAAAGATGGAGTACTAGTGTTCGAAAAAAGTAAGTCTACCTTGATAATAGTGTCAGTTCCAAATTCTGCCCTCCATTGAAGCATATTTGTCCACATGAGCTTAGCCATCTGTATATCAGACTTTCTAGCTTTAAGAAATCTGAAATTTTACAGGTCAAAGTTCAAGATCATCGTCTTCTGTCATCACATGAGTTGAGATAAAGTCTAGAACATGAACGCGTGGTGCTTAGGAAACAACTATGGAGTTGGAAAAGCAATTTTCCGTAACTGCCTTGTATCACATGACAGTTGATGAAAGGTAAAGGTTATATTTTGGAGATGAAATGACATGTTTAAAATCATACATTGACAAAAGAGAAGCGTCCAGTTATGAAATCTAATTTTCTGCATCCTACATTTCAAGCAGATGTAAATTAGAGATACCTAATAAGATGATTTTGGTTAAAAATTAGACAAAGGGCACCTTAATAATTTGAGATTATCATCATGCATAGGAGGAAGCAGATTCTCCAGGATCAGGATTTGTCGAAAATCATTTACAAACTCCAACTCCTCCTTTATATCATTTTGTGACCTGATCATCGTAGAATGTAATTGATCTTCGTAGTTTCCATGATCAAATAAAGATCCTTCACCACCTGTGGAAATTTGCAAATTCATACTTAACCATACGAGTACTAAACAGTCACTTGAAAAGGATAACAGAGTGGAGTCAATAACTTAACCATAAAAGCAAAACATAACTTCATGACCAACAAAGGCAAAATCTGACTATCCATAAGTAAAATATGATGAGTATTAAACTATCATCCACAAAATCCTACAGAGTTCGGCTAGGTAAAATTGCGTACACGTTACATCCTCACCAGACTCCTCTTATAGAATACACTGATTATGTTGTTGATTTCTAAGCCTCAATCCTAAATCATTGGTGTAGGCTAATTTTCACATGAAATCGTTATTGTTTTTCTTACTTCAATTCACATAAAATAGTGAATATATTAAATATTAATTTGATTTGAAAAACATAGTAGAGAGAAAATAACATAAATGATACAAAATTACCTGACATTTTCGTACGACTGATTGAAAAATGAAGTTTATAATAATGTCTGCTTAACAGATAAAATGACTGATCTTTTTTTTGACCTGCAACAAAAATATTGAGTATTTGATTACTTTACTTCAAACAATACTTGGAGTTTGGATATGAAGAGAATTGGGGGTTTCGTGAAGCAGTTAAGCTTTTTGATAGTGGTTGGTTTTGTGCTTTTACTGGCGGGAATATGCCGTTGTCCCTTTTCTATTTATTTATTTGTAAAATCCAATTTTTACAAAAAAAATTAGAAAATATTCACTCTAGTAAAATAAATTTCTTGTTTTAAAGAGAAATGACTTTCCTAATAACAATAATAAAACAAATTTCACAAGTATTGTATCCTCTTCACCCTCCAACATATTTTACTTTCCCTTCCTCAATGGATGGATGAAATATTTTTCTTCGTATCGAACATCACTACATTTTTCTAGGATTGATTGCGTGCAAGTTCCTCTCTTAGACTTTATCCTTGATGAAAAAACAAATTGTAGTTGCAGTAGGGTATACCCAAAAAGAGGCTTCAACTGAAATGACATTTTATTTTGTCTATTATTAGAATGATTCTTTGGTTTATTTAGCATCTTCTATTCTGTATTCGGAAACGTCACGGTCAATACAACATGAAGTGAACGGAAGTTCAACATTTTGAGTTCAAATCCTGAGAATAAAAAAGTTTCTTCAGGTAGAAAACACTACCCTTCTAATGAAATTAAGATGTGTACAAATTAATAGAAGGGTAGTAATAGTATATTCAGAAATAGCGCTGACTGACCACTTTTCTACGTTTAGATCTTCAAATTACTACTTAATAAGCAAACGAAACAATATGGACGGCACACTTGATGTAAGATTAACATGGAAACTGAAAAAAACACAGGCATGTCCGAAAACCATAAGTTTACCGGTCCGTCTTACATTAGAATTACAGTTCCATATATACAGATATTCACAAATTATTTTTTTACATAACATATGAAGGGGAGAAGTACAACTGATCTTTGAAGATGCTGACCACATTGGCTCCGATGAATGGCTTTTATATACATAAGTAGTCTCTTTGCTCAAACAACTCTAACCACACCTATGATATCACATGTCACGCAGTCATTCGAATTGAAACATGTTTCAAACGAACAATACTACCATTAGTTTCATGAAAGTTCGTAGCATTGAGGAAAAATGACTGGACAATAGATATACCTGCTATATCCAGTTCCTCTTGGATCGCAATTGAGTAAGCTTGTCCCTCCACAGAGCTGTAATTACCAATGTCAAAAGTGAGCAAAAACAGTTAACCAGGGTTGTGAATTGGCAAAATAACGAAGAAAAAGAATCTCCCTCCGTTTTAATTTGATTTTCTAGGTTTGACTTGACACAGTTAATGAATAGCAGAAACGCCATTCCACACAAAATCTGGACATGTTAACAAGCGCACCTGCATCTCTATATCGTTCTTCAACAGCCGCAATCAGCATATTTCGCACAAGAATAAACTCCTTTGTTTCAATGCATGGCTTGCCATTAGGCCTGACCCACAATACAAGTTGGATTATATTAGTCACAACTCACAACACAATAAGGCATTGTCAGACATCGTTTGGCAAACATGAAGAGTTTCAGCTATAATTTCAAACTACTTACAATATTTATCTCCCAAACAGAAAATAATGCTATTGTTATTTCTTATCAAAATATATACCTAATGGAGGTTTACCTGTCAAGCTCGGTGAACAAGAGACCATCAGAACCAGTAGTGTGCACTATTGGCTTCGGAGATTCAACAATTCTCATACCATCACTATAAGCCAAGTACTTGTTGACTTGTATTGGCACCTGGAATAATTAAACAGCAGAAGGTTTGTTATGTTAGCACTCATTTGGTGCAAGAGCACCATAAAGTTGAATTAAAGTGAGGAAATAGGACTATAGCGATGGGGACTATTGAGGAAAATATGGATGGCATTGTACACAAATTGTATATTGCACTCCATCTGCGGATGGAGGGATCATGACCTCAATCATGAACAGATCATTATGGAACGGATCATGAATTCAATAGTACTTGTATAAGTCAGTTTAGGGTGGATCTTAAGTAAGATATACATTGCATATGTAGTCAACTCCACAATAATAAGGTATCAGTTAGTTCATGTACAAATCAGAAGCTGAGGAGACTAGTTTTTTACCTTGCTTCTCACAGCAATGTTGATTGCATCAGACGGACGAAGATCAAAGCTAATACTCTCAGCATCGTTGTCGGACTGTAATGACAACCATATTACAACAATATTAGAGGTGGTTAAGTTGCATACCCCTAGCCTAAAAATGTACTGAAACGTGAGGACGTGGTCAGTCAGCATAGTAACAACATTTTACACACCTTTGTTAGATATAACTGAGCATAATAAGCCTCATGCACCCTCTTTGTAACTCGAACAAGTTTAACCTTCAAACAGGGGAACTGTCAGATCAAGCATAAAAGATAACACAACTACTGATAGAGCACAAATAACAAGCTTACCGTGTAACCCATCTTCTCAACCATGTCATTCACAACTTGATACATTGTTGGTCTGGCCTGAAACAAAGCCAACATGTGTCTTTTTCAGTAACGGAAATAGAAAAATGCTTCAAGAAATTTGGCAGGATGGCTTTACCAGCACCTAGATAGGAAAACTTACAATTTGGACATTGCGCACAGCTGCCATGAGCAGCGCACTTGGCATCTCCACTGTCATATAAAACAGACATAAGACAGAGAAATGAGATGGCCTTACTTGATTTATGCACTAAGAGACAGTCTAGTCATTAAACAAATGAATGGAATATCTACGTACAAACAATAATAGGGAGAAGAAGCCCTGTCCCGTCTTCCATTCTTAATACAATCGCAGGATGTGGAGCATAATCCGGTAGATGACCTCCTTGTGGATTATTATGCACACATTTCAAATGCCTTCCATCTCTCATTTTGATCATGAAACCATCTGGCCCACTTCGCACTTCAACTACACAAGAAGAATAGGAAATTTAACCCCACATAAATAAGTTACTACCTTTTTTATTTTTACTTATTTAGGGGCAAGTTGGTTGACATCAATCTTTTAAAGATGAGATTGCCTTTTGACTAATGCGAAAGCAAAAGACCGCCAACAGTGAGGTCTGCAACCTGACTCCAAAACTGACACGTGAAATTCGCATAAAAGTTGGAATATTTATAGAAATGTCATCACAAGGTGGAAAAATCATCTCAATACTAAATTAGAATGTTATAATTTATATATATAATCATTATTTCGCACAATGAATCCCAGCATGATCACTAGTGACATTATTATTTGGCACAATGAATCCCAGCATTAGCAATTGTTTTTTCTCAATACGAATCAGAGTATGACAATAAGTAATATAGCACTTGAGAACAAAGTTAGCATACCAGCTTCGACCACGCTAGAGTTCACATAATCTGCGTTGCTTTCATTGGAATTCTCTGCCATGCTACCATTTCCGTCTGATGATGAACTAAAAGTGCATTGTATCACCTTGCTTACTCGTGATCGTGGTTGACGAGCCACGTTAACCCGGAAGCTAGAGATTCCATTAAGCCCCCAGAACCTACTCTTCAAAATCTTCGCCTTCACTACAGAAGAATTGACAGGAACAGCAAACTGACTTGTTTGCTTTCCACGAACAACAGGACAAATAACAGGCCCTTGCAGAGAGCTCATTCTGCCTACTCAGGAATCTACACAGACAACAATTACCTTATAAGTAAGGATCATACACAAAAATCTACTCTCAATCACAAATTACTTATATAGATTCCAGTCCTAAACTAATAAATGCCACTTGTATGAATTCTCTACATCCAGTCGAAAAATTAAACTATATATAGAAAATTATATGCATATATGTAGATGTTGAATCCTTGGTTTACCTCTATATATTTTGAACCCTCCATAAAAATCCTAACTCCGCCACTATCTATGTTCCTTCAATTCTATAAGAATTTGACTTTAAAAACAATTAGGGGTTCTCACTTATCCATTCCATTAACGATAACAAATAATTCCACAAACTACAAGTGAATCCAACAAAAAAACAGAGGATTTCAAAGTACTAAAGTAACATATTTGCTCTAATTCACCAATCAAAACTCAGTTCTGATCATAATTCAAAAGTCAACAACTCCATGGTGATCACTACTTAAGTCTAAACAGTCATAATATTACCGTAAACACAAAATAGACAAAAATAGATTCAATTGTTACACTAGTTCTGCTTAAAATTTCAACTTAACGATCAAACCTTCACCTTCTCCACAGTGATCAACAATTTTAAAAAAAAATAACAATTCAACTTTTTTTACTGATTAATTAAATAGTTTAATCCTCTGATCGATCCAATTGAAGAAGAATAATAGCGTTAGGTACTAACCTGGATCAGCGATCGTAAGCCTTTCAACTTTACTGAACAATTATTATCAGAAAACAAATAAGAAAAAGGAAAATGATATTTTTTGTTGGAGAAAGAGAATTGAAATAATTTAAAGGCGACAAAGAGGTATGGATGAAGGAGAAGATAAATAGTGTGAGAAAAGATAAAGAGATAAACACTTGTTTTTGTGTGTGTATTGAATGAAGAAAAAAAGAGAAATGGAGAAGAATAGTTAAGTAAAGGACTGTGGGGAGTTGTAGATATTTTAATTCCATTGGACAAGGAAAACCACTTTCTCATTTTTCTTTATGGACAATTGTGTCCTCTTACCTTATGACAAAGGAAAACTATATACTATATTGCTTCTAGAAATATAAATAATTTTCTAATTTCTTCAGAAAACAAATACTCCCTCCGTCCCATTTTATATGATGTACTTTGATTTGGCACAAACTTTAAGAAAAATGGAAAGACTTTTAAAACTTGTGGTCCAAACTGAATGATAGAAATTTGTGTGGTTGTAAATCATTTCATTAAGGGTAAAAAAGACATTTTATAGGCAAATTGTTACTTAAAATAGAAATGTGTCATTCTTTTTGGGACTGACTAAAAAGGAAAGTAAGTCATATAAATTGGGACAGAGGGAGTAGATATGTTTCAAAGTGTAGGTATTCATGTGTTAAATATTTAATTTTAGATTTGGTGAAAAATATCAGAGGATGAAAAGGGTAATTATGGTAATTCATAAAAGTAGAGGTTTGTTTGCATAGAGGGGAGGGGACGTCATTATCAAGCTAACTGATAGACACTTCACCTCAATGCCGGCCGACGAAATTAAAACTGCTCTGTAACTGCCACGTGTACTTACACTGGATAAGGGTCCTTCTGTTGTCAATTTAGCACAATTCAGGCCCTTTTTTGTAAACTATTCTGGCTCAAATATTGAGAAAAAGATTATTTATGTCTTTTTTTGTAAACTAAATGTATTTATGATTTTACGAAATTATTTTTTACACTTGGTCAATTATGATTTAATCACATCATTAATCAAAACATTTTTAACAAGAAAAAGGCTTAAATATGTCTCGAGAAAAAGCTCATTTATGTCGTCCGTTAAAAGTTTGGCTCATCGATGTCATTTCAGTTAATAAATAATGACATATATGAGTCTTTTCCTCACACGAAAATAGTACAGACGAGCCAAACTTATAACAGATGATATAGATAAATCTTTTCTCAAAATTTGATGGTAATTAACATATTTGAGTATTTTCCTTATATTTCCTTAAATGTTATTGTTCGAACCC